TCAGGGAGCAGACAGCGGGGTCACTGGGAGCAGACAGCGGGGTCCATGGGAGGGGACAGCGGGGCCACTGGGAGCAGACAGCGGGGTCACTGGGAGCAGATAGCAGGGTTCTAATGACAGCAGGAGCGGCACTAGAAGCAGACAATGGGCTACCAGGACAAAACATACTGACAAGCGGGAGCAGTAAAATATGATCCACCAAAGGAACTGACTGAGGGACACTGCGAGTAGGAAGCTGGGTCAAGCCAGTGTCAGGGGTGGCGTCGTCCGTCAGTGTTCAGTGGCCCGTTCGCCGGGTTGCGTTCCCATTACACCAGCTGCTCGCAGGAAGACCTGGGCTTGACCCCGGATGAACTCGGAATCGACTCCGGAGTCAAACCAGTTGGCATTGTGTCGCGATGGAATGCAGGACTTTGAAACTCGGTTCTGAATCGGAGTCGGAGTTGAGTCACCAAATCGTTCATGGGTCGACTCGGACTGATGTTACATGCGCGTTAAATGAAGCGCAGCAATATGATATGATTTTCGACTAAAAGTTGGCTGATATGATCAGAGCTAGAGCCGGATCCCCCAGCGTTCTGAGGCAGGGTAGGGACCGATTTCGCTGAAGCGTATAAAGCATAAACCTGGTAATATGGACATCTGTGTTCAAATTACAGCCAACTCTCTTGATTCGCTGGGAGCAGTGAATACCTGCGGTGCCGTTGGGTTAGGCAGTCCCGTGCGCCAGACCCCAGCAATTTCAACCGATGTTTGTCTTCTGATTTACTTTTATCACAGGGAACACGACGCACATCAGCGCCCTCCTCTTTGCGGCGTGTTTATGACCGCGGCCAATACCAACCAAATTCCAGCGGGGGGGGGGCCTTCTCCATACACGCACACGGGGGGCCGAAGGCACCACTGAGCCTATTACGCAGCTGATTACTGTGGGACGTTAGCTCCCGCCCTGTCGTCACGGGCGAACGCTCGAGTCGGGAGCGACGGCCATGGCGTGGGCCCGCTTGGCAGCGTGTGGGTCTCGAGGCAGAACGAAGCCAGCTCTGCTGCGCACCGTCCGTGCGCCATTCGTCACCATCTTCAGACAGGCCACACGTGTCTTATAATCTCCCAACCGAGTACGATCCCAGAGCGAGTGTCGCGATCCAATGCGTCGAATAAATGCGGATCTCTCCGGGGTTGTTTTGACAGTTCGTGCATCTGTGATCACAGCTTTCGGTGACATTCCCGTGCGCCCTGTCGCTGTCAGCACCAGACAGCATTGCAACGCATGAGAGGTAGCAAGTATTTACGGGTCCACCCGACGGATCAAAATAGAAAACAAAACCGCGCGAAGGATGCACTCCAGAGCATCCCTGCAGCGCCGCTCAACGCTCCCGTGGGCCGACGAGAGGGCGCCGTCTCTGGCGGAGAAGTCGGCGAGCCGCGCGTGGGGTGGGGTGAAAACGCGGTGCTCAGCCTCCCCGGAGCTCATCCCATCCAATACCTCATCCCATCAGCTCATCCCATCCAATACCTCACAGATGAATCCACCGTTCACAG